TTTTATCAAGTGTTGTTGTACATTGATAAATTGATATGTTAAATAGTTCAGCTAATTCAATCTTACCTTTGTTACGACAGAAGTTCTAAAGCAATTTAAAAATAAAAGAATGCTTTATTTTATCTTGTTAATCTTAACTTATTTTTAAGATACAGGTTTGTTTTAAGGTCATTTTTGATATCAATAATTTCATCCCTATTATTATTATTTTTTAATTATAGAGTTATTAAAGCGTTGGTCGTGTGCTCACTTTTGGTATGAATTGCTGCCACTTTATCCTAAATTACATCCTGCTTCCATTACAATTTCATTAATTGTCTTCTGTTTGTAAAAAGAAACAATTCGAACGCCTTAATCGTAAAGTGCTTGTTTCATGATATATCATATTAAAAAGACTGATCGACCAATAATATTAAAGAGGATAGCACTTATGCCGGACTAACAAATTTACAGACTTTTAAAGTAAATTAATACGTTCCTTAACGCTAGATAATTTGATATTGCTTCATGTCAACTCTCGAGTTGTTAGATGTCTATATTATAAGAAACGAGCCTGGATAGTTTATTGGTATTATTATCGATATTAAAAAACGAATTAAAATATCTTTACAACACTTTTAAAAAGTTTCGATTTTGCAAGTTTATAACAGATTCCTACTGTACCTAATCAACTGATCTTTTGTTTTCTGTTCATGTGCTAACGATGCATGCAGTATTTGCAAATATACTTAAAGCAACAAGAACAAAAAAAAAACAGTTCATTTCTATCAACTTTTATTGATATTATTATCGAGCATGCAATATTTTCTTCTTCACATTAAGCAACAACAAATCACCATTTTTTATCGAGATTATTATTCTCATACATTAAAACGGGGTTATATTTGTTAAGTTTTGTTATTACTCATCGTTTTTCTAGGAAGAACAATTAAAAGATATTATGGGCCAATCAAATAGTGTTAGTTGACAGACAGAAATATGACTTTCTATTCAATATACAGTTCATATTAGGTATAATGTTGCACCAAGGTATATATCTTATTACTCAGTTCGCAAATTCTTTTGTAGATCTCTCCTTGAAAACAGGATCACTACAATAACTGTAGAAAATGGATCTCTGGATGGATAGTCATCATTACAAAAATTGTAAGTCACGGCTATCTATTTTATCTTTGATATTTTTAGGCAATCTTGTTGGTACTTAACCAGGAGATAAACATCCATATAAAGTGCTACTAAATAGAAAAAAAAAACAATGTAATTTTCAAAGTGGAAAAATTAAAAAAAAATGTCAATCTAGTTTACTGCATTAAATGAAAAGTTCACATTATTTGTTTTTATCGAAATTAATACTCCTCTTGTCTCACATTTTATTCAATATACAGGTCAAATAAGATATAATGTTGTACCCTGGTTAATAACTTAGTATGCAAACTCTTTTGTAGAAATATCAGGGAGAAAATGATCACCAGTGTTAAAAATGGCTCTCTGGATGGATTATCATTCTCACTATCGTTGTAAGTATAGATTGCTTATTTTTTATTATACATCACTGGATCAAGGCTTAGCAACCAATTATATTACTTTTATACAGTAAAGCACTTTGTACCTATATTCAGTGTTCTCGTTGTTACGACAAATGTCCTGACAATAGTATAATATTAATAAAGCAATAAAAAAAAAAGAATGCAAAATTGCATCTGTTTAATCAAATGAAAAAAAAACCAGGTCGTATTGAGATTAGTCATATACCAAACAATTCCTACTAATAATTCAATTTTTTTTAATTATAGGGTTATGAAACTGTTGGTCGTGCGCACATGTTTAGTATACAGCCTTCCACTTCATACCTAATTAACATTTTGATTCCCTTCTTACGATTTCAATACGTGTATTCGGTTTGTATAAAAGAAGCAAGTCGAACAGCTTAATTGAAGATTGCTTATTCATTACACAGACTTAGCAACTAATAGTATTGCTTCTAAAGAATATAGCACTTTTATCGGACTGACAAATTTACAGAAGTTGTTATTATATTGATAGATTTGAAAACGAGAGAGAATTTCCGCGAATTCATTTGTTGATATCTCAATGAAAACAGGACCACTTCTGTAGAAAATGGATTTCTGCGTGGATTGTCGTCCTTACAAACGTTGTAAGTCCCGAATATTTATTTTATCTGTGAGATAATTTCGGACAGTTCATTTCTAACAACCTTTATTGATATTATTATCGAGCATGCAATATTTTCTTCTTTACATTAAGCAACAAAAATCACAATTTTTTATCGAGATTATTATTCTCAAACCTTAAAACGGGGTTATATTTGTTAAGTTTTGTTATTACTCATCGTTTTTCTAGGAAGAACAATTAAAAGATATTATGGGCCAATCAAATATTGTTAGTTGACAGACAGAAATATGACTTTCTATTCAATATACAGTTCATATTAGGTATACTGTTGCACCAAGGTAAATATTTTATTACTCAGTTCGCAAAATCTTTTGTAGATCTCTCCATGAAAACAGGATTACTACAATAACTGTAGAAAATGGATCTCTGGATAGATTGTCATCATTACAAAAATTGTAAGTACCGGCTATCTATTTTATCCATGATTTTTTTAGACCGTCTTGTTGGTACTTAACCAGGAGATAAACATCCACATAGTGTGCTACTAAATAGCAAAAAACAAATGTAATTTTCAAAGTGGAAAAATAAAAAAAAAATGTCAATCTAGTTTACTGAATTAAATGAAAAGTTCACATTATTTGTTTTATCAAAATCAATACTCCTCTTGCCTCACTTTTAATTCAATATACAGGTCAAATAAGATATGATGCTGTACCCTGGTAAATAACTTAGTATGCAAACTCTTTTGTAGAATTATCAGGGAGAAAATGATCACCAGTGTGAAAAATGGCTCTCTGGATGGATTATCATTCTCCCTATTGTTGTAAGTAAAGATTGCTTTTTTTTTTATTATACATCACTGGATCAAGGCTTAGCAACCAATATTATTAGTTTTATACAGTAAAGCACTTTGTACCTATATTCAGTGTTCTCGTTGTTACGACAAATGTTCTGACAATAGAATAATATTAATTAAGCAATCAAAAAAAATATATAAAATTAAATCTGTTTAATCAAATGAAAAAACAGGTTGTATTGAGATTAGTCATATACCAAACAATTCATACCTAGAATTCAAGATTTTTTAGAATATAGGGTTATGAAACCGTTGGTCGTGCGCAGCCGTCCACGTCACACCTAAATAACATTCTGCTTCCCTTCTTACGATTTCAATAATTGTATTCGGTTTGTATAAAAGAAGCAAGTTGAACAGCTTAATTGAAGATTGCTTATTTAGTATACATTATATTACGGATACGAACAATATGTCTTCATGTAGGAAATTGATTACACGGCTGAGCCATAAGAAAGTAAAACGCATCATAATGTAATTATCGTCTTGGCGAAATACTTCAACATATCAGCAGCTATATCAAATTGGTTTTGCCAGTTTTATTTAAATCATACGACACTTCCTGAAAAAAAATTGTAAAATCCTGTATTATTGCACATGTATTCCCTAAGTATGTCAGTTGATAAGATTTAAAACCTACAAGGAATCCTCTCTCTCTCTCTCTCTCTCTCTCTCTCTCTCTCTCCACCATACACAGGTTAATATAAATGCCAACTGTTTTCACATGTACACTAATCACTATATAAATAACATACAACTGAGAGGTTGATAGAGCAGATTGTTACCCTCAACCAAGGCAAAGCCAAGGTTGACAATGTTTATCGAGGGGTACCAATCTGCTCTGTCAGCCTCTAGGCTTTGTTTTATTTATTTTATTACAATGAATACTCTGTCATTATTGTCGTTTAAATGATAAATTTAAAGTAATTAACTATGACTTCGTGTATATGAAGCATGATGTACTTATTTCGGTTGACTGTCTTTGAAAATCGTCTTAGGTCGCAACGTTAAAATTGCGCATTGTCTTTAAAATCATTGATACAAGTTCAATTCATTGACCTATAACTAACGATTTTTGATTGGACTGCCCGAAAAGGTGACATTCAAAAATTTGTCTCCCGCTGAGCCATGTGATAGAACAAATTGTCTCCCGCGTATCATCCAATCAAAATTTGGCATTCTAACGTGTAGAACAATTAACAACAAATATCAAACTTGAAGTGTGAATTTCTGTACAGTACAGCTAGATACATCTGCAAACTGGTCATCGTATCAATGTATAGCATTAAAATAAAACATTTAATAAATGTCGTGGGTCCGTAGTTCATTTGTTGGCAATCTGTTGTGTTGTAGTTGATGGTGGATGGACAAGTTTTGGACCCTAGAAACATGTGATGGAGGTGTACAATACAGAATTAGAACATGTACTAATCCTCCTCCTGCTCATTATGGTGATAAATATCAGGAAAACAGTCAGGAGACCAGATCATGTGAGGAACAACAAAGTCCTGATAAGAAAAACTTATAATGAGTTTAGGTTTAAATCCAAAATATTGTTAGTATGTGTTTATTGATTATCTTAACTGTTTTGAAATGAGTTTCCGCATGGTATTAATGATGAAATTATCAAAAAGCACCTGTGCGAAGAGTCTCAACATGGTCCATAATTATTGTACACATTATAATATTTCTTTTTAGAATTATTCTTACAAAAATCGTCTAAATCATGAATGAGTAGGTGTGGTTCCAAGATTTGGAAAAAAAGGGGGGGGGGGGGGTGTCGAGCAAGGACCCGGGCCCAAAAAATCAGTCTCTGATGAGAGAGTTTCTTGACATAGTCGTTACCATCAGTAATCAATATATCCATTAACATGTACATTGTAACATCGTATCTTCTAAACAATATAATTCAGTTAGATGAAAAAAATGAGAACTGAAAACAAGACTATTTTTTTCAAATCCTGTTATTCATGAAAATCACTGTAGCGCAAAAGGAAGGGTATTTTGAAACGAAACGAACATTTGTGTGCGTAAAATATGTTTATATGCTACTAAACACTAGTTTTACTGTCCTTGTTTAGACAACGAAAATATCATACACTCAGAGTTGGTTTTCCAGGAATCTTTAAACCTGGATTTCGGTTCTGCAACAAAAGAGAAATGTCAAAACTAACAATTTTCTGGTCAATTGAAAACAGTTTGATTAATAAAATACCGTGCATAAAGATGATGCCATGCATATTACAACATTCATTATAAATTACTCGGTGTATTCATACTACATTTTTTTTTACAGACCAATACAAACTATTGAACGACGCCTTTTGTTATGAGTAATTGCAACTGTTAGCGAAAATTAAAATGGTAATACGAAGATTGAAAATTAGAAAATTGTAAGTAAACAGGAAGATAGCTTTCTTTTTTTCTATAAAGTTGTCATCATCTATTGGTCAGGTATTCTAGATATATATATGCCTCTTTTTAAACATGTAGCGCTTATCAGTACTTAACATGTGTCAAAGGAAGGCAAATAATGTTTCTAATTACTGATTCATAAATTGATTAAAAAATTGATTTCAACAATTTTAACAATGATGATCCTTTGAATTAAATTTTTGAAAATATATTAAACCTGTATCAGGTTTCGACGAGTTTAAGAACAGGGTAAGAGGTCAACAGAAGTTTAGTACGAGCAGATGAACCCCAAAACAAATAATGTCTTCATACCATAAATACATGACATGATACCTTAATGCCGTTCGTAATTAATTTTATCCGAGACGCAGAAAACATTATGCAAAATCAGGGACGTTTATATCAAGACCTATAGTTGTTAACTTCTATGTCATTTGTTCTCTGGGGGAGAGTTGTCTCATTGTCAATTATACACAATCTTCTTTTTTGTTATATCTAGCAAGTGCGGTCTTGATAAAACCGATAAAGTTTTAAGTCCAGTCATTTAATCACAATTTCTAAGCAAATCCCACCAAAACACCCATTGAGTATCATCTAAACTATTAGAATAGTTTCGTTCACCACAATCTCTACTTTTATCGTAACAAACTCCTTATATGCTATCGTCCAAAAACATGGTCAATATTGCATAAAACGCAACAACAAAATCAAGAAAGAAATAATTTGATAGATGTTTTTTAAGGAGAAGTAAGATAAAAGGGTTTGGTTATTATCTACACTAGCAATATTTATTAATATGAGCAATATTTTCAATCGAAGTTTGTACGGTAAACATTACCTGAATCTTTTTTTTTTTTTTTTTTTTTTTTGCATTGTAAACAATGAACAACGAACAGATTAGAAAGCTTTTAACCCAAGGTCCGAAAGAAATACCCAATGGAAAGTAAACCCATACTAAATAGTATTGTTGATCATTGTTATACACATATACACTTTCAAGGTACTACAATCTGTCGATGCCTATATTTTAGTATTGCACAAGGTCATGTTTTTTTTCTGACTGTTAATGACGTCTTTACACTAAATCCATTGGATATTGGAAGTATAATGATTATATACATGCTTTCTCTTTTCAATTGTTATCTGCTTTGAACTAGCTGTCAGTAACTGCGAGTACCCTCATATCTGTACTTTGAGTCTTTTTTGTTGTTAGGGATTTATAAGTACCCTGCCACGTCCGGTCTGAGTTTTTGTTAGATGTTTTTCTGCTTTGTATCGATCTGATCAGTTAAGCCATTCTCAACTGATTTTTACAGATTGTTCTTATGTTGTGCTGTAATACAACTGTCCCAGGTTAGAGGAGGGTTTGTTGCTAACAAACTCGTTTAACCCCGCCACATTCTGCATGTGCCTGTCCTATGCCAAGAGCCTGTTATTCGGTGGTTATAGTTTGTTACTGTATATCATATTTGTGTTTCGTTCATTATTTTTCACATAAATCAGGCCGTTAGTTTTCTCGTTTAAATTGTTTAACATTTGTCATTTCGGAGTCATTTTATAAATGACTATGTGGTATGGGTTTTGTTCAATGTCGGGGGACGTACGGTGACCTATAGTTGTTAACTTCTACTTCATTTGATCTCTGGTGGAGAGTTGTCTCATTGGCTATTTAACCACATCTTATCATTTTATATGGTGTATTGATCCACGACACAAAATCCTTATACGCACTAGGCACTAGACGAAGTGGACAATAGATCATATTCAATCTCAACTTGAACGAGTGTTTAATTTTTTTCGAGCAATGTTATCCTTAGTTAGATATATAACTTTCAACGGTATTTATAAATGCTGAGTAAATTCAAAACAAGATTTCACAAGATTATGTAACTATTAAACAATAATGATATGCATTTAAAAAAACATCTAAAAATATTCGAAAGAGCCCGTACTTAATCGCTTCGAATATTGAACGTACTGAACATACTATTTTGATCAAACACAAATATTTTCAGCCATAAGAGAACCATTTTTTACGGTTAAGAAAAAATAGTTTCTTGTGTGAAATTATCAGTTAATGAAAGTTTACTAAATCAAGTTTGTTGATAGGATGCCAATTCATGAGGGCGTGATAAACTGTCACTAGTAGCCAATCAGCTTTTCTACTGTACAAAGTATGACGCACAGTGATGCTTCAACAGTATAAATGACATTGTGTTTGATTTATGACATAGTTTTAGAACACCAACAGTCTATTTATCGTACTATAGTGACTTTCTCATCCTAATTCAAAATAGAATTGATTTCGAATAAGGGGCTTTGCAACCGCTGAAAACAACTTTAGTATAAAAGATACCATCACGATAATTCGATTTTGTTGACCGATACAATATGTCTGTGTCTCAACTAACTAACTACATGTTTTCGTAATCGTATATTTTTAATACCAGAATGATTGTCTTATTTGTAATTTTAACTCTCAATGATATTAATGCATTTAAGCAACATACGCTTACCCTGTCGACACACCTAATGTTTCACCTATTTGAGTTCATGCGACTCCCTCAAATTTTGTTTGTTACCTTAATTTGTCTTCGTAAGCGACATTTGAACATCGTTCAACTACCGTTGCCTTGATTTCGTCATAATAAGGATTCGTCGGTTATTACATATATATATATATGCATATTTAATTCTAATTCTGTAGTTATTAGTTAAAGATGTTCATACTAAGTATAATAAGGAGTCTTCTATTAGGAAATGAAGGCAGCCAACCGTATAGATAGTGTAGGAAATCACTTTGTTCTAAACATCCAACTGTAAATGAAACGAGATTTGGACGGGATTTTATTAAAAGATACAAAATTATTGTGCAAAATGTTTGGGCATTCTACGAATCTTCACCGTTTTAGAATTAATCTTTATCTCTTACAATTAAAGAAGAATAAAATCATCTTTAAATGTCAACTGTTCTCAATACATAAGTGTTACAAGTACCACTATTTCTATGCATATGTTGGCAAAGGCGAGTTCAGTCGTGTATAAATAAATATATATATATGTAGGACTCTGAGGTGCGATTGGGACGCTGAAGTGCAATGGTCTATATGACGCGTGATTGCTAGTTAAATTACTCCCTCTTGCTGCCGCTAATTCAAAATGGTTGCATTTTGTGTGCAAGAAAATACAGCAGCTGAAAGTCTGTGACGTGACATGTATTAGAATCTGCTGATGTGCAATTATCATGAAAAGTCGAATTTTTTATACGTCAATTATTTTAGATTTGCATTCATTTTTGTCCATGAAATATTTATGACATTTTGGTATCTGTGATATATTTGTGTATGGTTGAAATAGAAAAAAAATCAGTTAAAGATTTATCATACTGGAATATACCTATTTACCGTACAAATTGGTATTATGTGATAATCGTATACTGTTCGAATATCACTTTAAGTACCCTGCTTATATTATAGTTTCATCTGAACCTTTTTAATGTATATTTCTTTAAACGGTGTTTGCAACATTTGAAATGAAAGAATTTATTTCCTATTACTGTATGTATTTCCTTGGTTACGAATTCATACTAAATGAGAGATTGTCCTATTTAATTTTACAGATTACCTTCTATGATTTACTTAAACACATGAAAAGCTGTTTCTAGTAAACAAATTGAAGTCTACATCGACATGTGAACGTGGAAATCATTAAAACTCAAGTTTGTGTAATCCATCGCACTTAAGCGTTACCATTAACGCACTTCAGCGTAGCTTTCAACAAGATAGCGTCACAATGCCACCAACGTACTTCAGCGTGATCAAAAACGCACTTCAGCGTCAAGCCATCGTACTTCGGCGTGACCATATCGTGTTAGGGAGTACAATCGCGGTTCATGATCCTACACATATATTCCTGTTATGCATGAAGTACACGTCATGCGAATCCACATTAAATCAAAATATATTAAAACGAAATGAGAGAAAACCGGTATGTTTACAAATCAAGAAACGATGCTGATATCTAAACAAACGTCAATAAAAAACGGTGCAAAGAATGTTTATTGCAAAATTTATAAATCGCAAAGACTGCATTTCACATCAAATAATTGCAATGTGTTAGAATAATGTCAAGAGTGCTTTAGCTTTATGGGAACTCTAGCCGACGATTTAATAATGTACTTGACAACAGTGCTGTTGGTAACGTTCATGACGTTACAATAGTAGTACGGGGAGATAAATCCAACGTGTTCACGTAGATTCGATTAATTTAGATTGAAAGACCCTAACGAAAGAGAGATGAAAGATACCAAAGGAACATTCAAACTCATAAGTCGAAAATAAACTGACAATGTCATGGTAAAAAAAAAGAAAAAGACCAAAAGACAAGCAACGTTTCATAAAACACAACATAGAAAACGAAAGACTGAGCAACACGAACCCCACCAAAAATTGGGGTGATCTCAGGTGCGTCGGAAGGGTAAGAAGATCCTGTTCCACATGTGGCACCCATCGTGTTTTTCATGTTAGTCCAATTAGGTAGGTCACCTTCGGTGAAAAGGGGACGGGATTGTAGTTACGACAATTGGAACCTATCCGTTGTCATCTGTGAAATCGATATTCCATAACGGTCAATCAACTCGTGATGGCGTCCGTAAAATTTACGAAGTGATGATTTCAACTTCACCATGTGGAACTCTTGGTTTAATAACTTACTGGTAAGCAGCAACCCTCTGTAAAGGAAATCATGAAAGGAAATACTAGCCTTCGAATATCGTATCAATTGGGAGATATATACTCGGTACGCAGGTGCGGCTGGAATATTGCTACATAGAAAAGGAAAGTTCATTATTGGGAAGCTGAAATCATTTTTTTGAGGTGTGCTTCCTTTGTCAGTCGTTTTTATTGATAAGAGTCTTTCATTTTATAAAACAGAAATTCTTTTACACGTGCATTCGAGTCTCAAAACTTTGGAAACCAAATACTTCAAACTGTTGAAATTTCAAGATTTAATTCAAGCGAGAATCTAGGTACTAGTTACCAGGTAAATGGTACACTACAGAATGCCAACACACCAGCAGCGGCATTGAAATAGTGCTGTTAGTATATGAACTTAAATGTCGATATCAGTGTTAAAAAAGACATCTCAGGGAATAATGTTAAACTAAGAAGCTAATTGTTGCCAGGCAAATTATATTACATGTAAAATCACAAGCATTTATTAAGGCTTGCCATTGCAATAGGTGTGCGGATATCATATGTATCAAAATGAATTACTAGATGTAAGGTATCATATTCTTGCAAATAGTACAAAATTTCTTATTAAATAATAAATATGACATACTACATAAAGTACATATGTGTAATTCGATAGCCTTAACCGTGTTATTTTTATGACCAAATTAATGCAAGTAGCCAATTGTCACACGTTATATTTTTGATTAAAATATAATAAAGTGTTAAACTAGACATTCAAGCTATGAAGCTAATATCTGATTTTGTTTTTATAATTCATTAAATGTCTACACCTTTTTATCAAAATTATATTTCTATTACTGAAAGCACACCCTTCTTTATCCCGCTAAATGTGCAAAACAACAAAACAGTGATTCAACAAAATGATTCCTTCTATTTAGGTTTTTTTTTTAATTTCATACTTTTACAAAGCTATGCCTAAATGTATAAAAGGTGTGGTAGTTAATCTTCATTTATTGGTATGATGTTAACTAGTAAACATAAATCTACAAAGCATAACGACAGTATTGTCAGCTTAAACACATAACTTCACTCATTTACATTATTGAAATTCATCAGCATTTATCTTTCAGATCTCGATTTTCAATAGGATTGATGTGTGGAATTTTTCTCCTCCAAGTGGTTCTATTTAAGGAGTTTACAATCATTTCAAACATGATAATTAATGTTCCTGCATTAGAAAACGTAGTATTTGAAATTCAATCCAATGTCAGTTCGAATATCAAACCGTTGAATATGTTTGATGAGACATATATCTACAAAATAAATCCTGCCGAATCACTTTGTGGTGATTATAATTGTGATTCCTTGCAATTGATCATAATTGTAAAATCATATGTGTTTAACTTTGGTCAACGTGACGTTATACGTAGGACATGGGGAGGCACGACCAAACTTCGATCCAAAATTGTATTTATCGTCGGATACCTTGACGGCATGGACACATTAGTCGAATATGAGTCAAAACATAATAAGGATGTTATTCAGCTAAACATAGCAGATCAGTATGAAAATGAAGTTTATAAAATAATTTATTCTCTCTTATGGTTAATTCGCGTCAATATTAAAGCTGAGTTTGTCCATTTTGTAAATGACGACCGCTTTGTTAATCCAATGAACATTTACACTGTTGCAACTAACAACATTTATTCAACAGATTCACTTATGATAGGATACAGATTGTCGTTTTCAAAAGCAAGGAGGGATAACAGTTCTAAACGTTACATTTCGCCTGAAGATTATCCTTTTGTTTTTTTCCCACCATACATAGTTGGAGGAACTATCTTAACAAATATCAAAACTATTCAAATATTAGCCATTGCAGTAGCATTTATAAAGGTTATTTCAGTAGAAGATGCATATATTGGGATAGTAGCAAAAGCAGCCAATATCAAATTGAAACATCATAGTGGGTTTTTACCATTTAAAAAGTCGCTTTCCGTACTTAGGAACGCAGTTTCCTCCCCTGGTTATGAAACAACCTACATTTTACTACGAGACTGGAATTTGATTAAAAGTGCATAAGGGCAATGAACAAGTTATCATGTAAATGATATAGTACAGCTGTGCATACCTTAGTCCTTATTTAAAAAGTACACTGCAATCATGTTTTATATAATATCTAATAACGTTTTTTTTATCGATTGTACCTTTTTTAGAGTGAAGTAATTTCCTAGTACTATTTATTGTTGTTGTATGTGCTTATATATAACTTTAATTAGTCCACTAATTGAGCACGTACAGGGTTGATACCTAAAATAATCTTTTATCCCTGCCCCATTTATATATGCCAGTCCGAAGTTCGGAAGGTTTTTTTTCTGTTTTATTTTGTTATCCTTGCTCTATAGAGAATTTGGTATGTATTACAGATGTTTGATAGTTGTGAGAATTAAGTTACACCTGTTGAAGACTTGCGTCAATTTAGAGCTTGACACATTGACTAAATCCATTGTTTATATCATTAGAATTATAATTACATGTATTTATTTTTCGTTTAATGGTATACGCTATAGAATTACCCTTTATTCATATGTGATACTACAATTCCATTTACAGAAGAGTTATTAAGTTTAATCGCCCAGGTGTGTGTATATTTTCATAAAAAGGAAGTGTTTATCATTAAAGGGGTATTAGCTGTCAAATTCATGTTCACCGATTTGACTCAAATTTTCATATTTGATTTATAACATACTAAAACGTATATCCAAAGTACAAAAAGTCTAAGAATGAACAATTAACAATGCATGGACTCAATAATATGTATCAACATTTCGTGTGTATTTTTGTCTACACGTCAACTTATTAACCACCGAGATGACCTCCGAAGACTGTCGATGGTCATTTAACCGGATATAAACATAAACATAAATATAAATAGATAGCGCCCAGGTGCAATTGGATTTTTCTAAGTCTGTTTGATTTATTATTGTAGGTTAGAAAGTATGTTTATCATCGTTTATACCTGTATAAGAATGATTTTTTGAGAATCGAATCAGTTCATCCTTATTTCACTTTCAATGTTGACATTCTTTTCCTATTAATAGCTAAATACATGCACATGCCATCTCCAACTAAGGGGTTAAATTGAAGGTCCAATGAATACGCATTCAAAGACGTCGAATTATTCACTTGCAAGTAAATAATTCATCAGAGTTGTTTCTTAGCTTATTTTGACAAAACTGAACCAAATTGGCTGCTAAAAGCGAATTATTATATCACTATTTCACTTTCATTAATGATTGATAAAAAAAAAAAATCGTAGATAATGCCCTTTTAACATATAAACAAGGCAACTCTTAAACATTAATTGATCACTTTAACATTTAGTATATATGTTCTTTTAGTTGTGATGTTTAACTCAATTAACATTTTCAAAAATTAACATCTCAATTTGCGTTTGGGGTTTCAACTGCTTATCAGATATTTTACTGAACTTACCATTGGGAAATGTTTATGTTGAACAAAGAACAAAATGGTTAGGTAAATATAGTTCTTTTGGAATGAACCAGGTTCTCAAAATTGGAGTTCTTATTTCTTCTTTAATTGTAAATTATTACAGTTACCATTGAAACCATGTTGTAGAATGGGAACAAAAGAAGATGAAGTTAATGATCCACATTAGTTCTTCGTATCATGCATTCATATGACAACTTCATAATATAACTACATATTCTAACCTTTTTTCAATGATATATTTTTTTCATACTAAGCACAGATATCAGTCTATTATATGTTCTGACACTTTTGTTTAAAATTTCCTCTTTTCATGCAAAATATCAAAATCATCTGAATATATGTTATAAATGGTATGACAATGTCCTTGTGTGTGTTGATCTTCTAATGAATAGTGCATAGTCGTTTTCTCTGATTAATTTTTTTGTCGATTTCAGTGTGTGATAAACTGTTATAACATTATTGCTCTCAAATCATCTTTATGCTAAAAGCAATTATTGTAATCAATTATTTGCAATCTACACGATTATTGGTATTTATGTTATGATACAAATATTAGCCAGCTTTAACCCACCAGGTTCTTCGAAAAATACATGTAGCAAGTCAGGAATATCAGTTGTTTTTCACTAGTTCAGTTTGTTGATTACGTTTGATTTTGTCAGTTTTTTTGGACTTTCCCTTTTTGAATTTACCTTGAAGTTCGATATTTTTTTAATACTTTTACTTTTTTATCCAATGTAATACAATCATGAAGTAACAAATTTGCAGGTGCAATCCGAGGAATCGGGAGAGCTATGTTCAAAATATACTTAGGGAAAAAGTAAAACAACAGATATACCGAACTCCAAGGAAAATCCAAAACGGAAAGTCCCTCACCAAATGGCAAAATCAAAAGCTAAAACGCATCAAACGAATGGAAACAACTGTCATATTCCTGACTTGATACAGGCATTTCCTTATGTAGAAAATAGTGGATCGATTCTGGCTTCATCCCAGCCAAATTTCTCACTTGTATTACAGTCGCATATAATTCCATTATATTGTCAGCAATATTTGAACACAACAAACAGACATAATAGGTAAAAATGTAAATTATAGGGGTACAGCAGTCAACTTTGTGTTATAATCTTAATCACTATAAAAACAAACAAATATGTCAACAAAGAAAAACAAAATGGCATATAGACAAAACACATAAGCGTACAAGAAAGATAAGAATACAAACTAGAGGCTCTCAAGAGCCTGTGTCGCTCATCTGTATCTACTGTGGTTTTGAAAATCATGTAAAATAAGGTTAAAATCATAACAAATAGTATAAGATACCCTAATAATGATTGAGGCCAAGTTTGGTTTAATTCGGCCCAGTAGTTAATTTAGTTTCAGAGATATAAGCCAAAAACTGCATTTTACCCCATGTTCTATTTTTAGCCATGGCGGTCATCTTGGTAGATGGGCGGGGTCATCGAATATATTTTTTAAACTAGATACCCTAAGGATGATTTAGGTCAAGTTTGGTTTCATTTAGCCCAGTTGTTTCAGAGGAGAAGATTTTTGTAAAAATTAACGGACGACGATGACGACGGACGCCAAGTGATGAGAAAAGCTTACTTGGCCCTTTTGGGCCATGTGAGCTAAAAATGACCATAGCACAATAGCATAATTGTGGGATGTATAAATACCGAGCCACGCCGAAAGGATATTACCAAAAATGGACTAAACAGTAAAGGTTAATAATTAACAAGGACAAATAAAAGAACACTATAACACGTAATTAAGATGATTAACAACGTCAGTACCTATAATCTGTACTTCAAGACCATCATGTATTATTTGTGAAGTTGATACGGAATATTTATCAACGAGGTCTTGGTATCTTCCGATGAACTTTTTTTTTTTAGAAAAAAACAACTATTTAAATCCTGAAGGGGGTATGGTTTTTGTCTACAAAATATTCTGAATCCCAACTTTAAAAAAAAAGATTATTTTGATCAAGATGTACAAAAAAATCTGTTTGAGAGTTTTTGCCATTTTTATGTTAACTTCTAAAGAATGTTTGCGCGCTTTGATTAACAATAAAAGATAAATAATTTGATGCTTGCGTCAAACAAAAAAATGCTCTAGTATATATAACTTTCTGTAACCTGTACATAAGTAAACTTTGAACAGATTTGTTGGCTGCTTTCAAAGTCAATTCAATATAATTGAAGCAGGCTAAGCAAGTTTACTTTATCTGTGTCAGACAAAACCTACGTCTGCTTCTTTAGTACTATTCGAGTCCTGTTGACATGTCTGCTCTGAATAATGCACTTTTGAAAATTTAGACAATGGAATTCCCCATAGCAACTCCTTTTACGGCAAAAAAGGTGCCACCTTTACTATGAAGTTTCGTAAAATATTATATAGATCACATGCAGTACTGTGGTGTTGTTGTTTAGCACAAAAGGGCTAGGTAACAACCAGTCAGAACGGCCGAAGGATGAATAATTATATTGTTAAGCACAAGAGAACTTTAGGGAAAAGGATTTAAGAGACAGACAACCAGTCAGGAAAAAAGGTATATCAAAAATACTGAACTCTATGGTAATTTGAAAAGAGGAAGTCCATATAAACTGACAAAATCAAATGTTATCAACCAATGGAACGAGTGAAAAAACAACTGTCACATTATGACTTGGTACAGGCATTTTCAGAAGAAAATAGGGGGTTTAACCTGATAGCTCGCATAATCTCCCACTTGTATGGCAGTTGTTTATAGTTCCGTTATATGGACAAAATTGAGTGAGCAACCTAAACAGACATAATAGGTGACAGCAGCAAGTTAGATGCTATCGTTTAGCACAACATAGTTATTGTTTAACACTATAGGATTAGATGGCAACCAATCAGGACAAACAAAAATGTTAATAGATGATATTTGCTAGATGAAATGGTTTCAAAAATAACAGTTATATAAGACAGTCAACCTGTAAGGACAGACACCTGTTGCAAATTGGTTGTACTGGCTAGCACAATAAGTTTCGAACAAAACAGTAATATAAGACAGACAATCAGTCAGGACATATGTCAAATGCCAAGTGATGCTACTGTTTATTACAATAGAGTTTCAGGTACAACAATGATATACGATGGACAACCATTCACGACAAAATATGGATATTATTACCTAGCACAATAAGGTTTTCAAGATAACAGTCATATAATACTGACTATCATTCAGGACATATTTATATGCCTAAGGGTAGGAGTTAAGTTTAATAGGTTTATAAAAATCATGTTTCTTTTTTTTTCTTGTGTTGCTCAGAGAGTTTATTTCTACTTTCACTTTTATTTTCGCGTTCCGCTACTCTGAGCTGCACTGTTGCGTATATATTATGAACGAAAGGACTGTGAATATGAACACTTTCTATTTCAGATATCGTGGCCGTATTATATTGTATTGTATGTATTATATTATACTCACTGTTTGGCCAGGGGGGTACCTTAACATGTTCCCAGCTTTAGTTTGACCTGTATATTGCTTGCACGATTTACGTTAAGGGTCTATATTGAAACAGGGTATGTTTTCCCTAAGGGTTATCTTTGATAAGCCCATATCTCCCTTTTTCCCTCGACGGTTGTACATTCCCATTTGTATTTGCGCCATTTTCTTTATTA